TATAATAATTGAATTTATATGTTTATTTATCAGTATTCTTAAAAATACGTTTAGCGGTTTAGGTTCTATCCAAACTTAAGTCAAGCGCTAAGCTTGATACATTTTTTATGCTTTTTCAAAGCCTGGAATTCGCCAAATCTGCTTAGGTTCGTAAAAATTTGAAACTTGATACTATCGTCTAGTTGCGCATTACGTTTTTTAAAATATTATTATTGATGAATAACATTAATGGAATATGGATGGGACAAAAGCATGGTTGTCTCAAAAGTAACTGTAAAAAATTGAATCTTCCTGTCAACTGTCCCGGTTTGAGCAGCTTAATTGGTAAAAAATCATTTGTGTAAATCTGAAACAAACTGCTGCATGTCTGTCGGAACTACAGTTAGATGGAATCCAGCAGGAAGGGATTGGATTTCAGTTGACTCAAACTCGAAACAATGGGACTAGTTTGTGTGTACGTTAAATAAAAAGTATGGGACAACGTTGTCTGACTCATTGATCGAAATGTGCATGTATACTTACTTCAAAATGTATATTACCGTACCCTCTAAAAATTCTTTGGGCGTTAAGACTAAACACAAGATTCTCTATGTTTGAAAGATTCGACTCTTAAAATTATGCATCAAAAGACTTTTAAAGTTAACATTTCTCTCTTTATAATTAAATACATTCAAAATATTTTAATGATGGAAAATAATATAATAATTTGAAGGAAAACTACTGAAACAATAAATATTTTTTTTTGAGTAGTAAAATTAAGGGTCCGTTTAACTGTAAGAATGAAATTTGAATGGAAAAAAATGAATTTCAGGGAATTGAATTGTTTAAAACTTGTTTTACTAGGAATTGTCAATTAATCGTGTTTGATTGATATAATTTTTCACCTGAAAAATATTGAAATTTTGGATATTTTGGTGTTCTTTTGACTTTATTTTCTATGAAAATTATCCATTAAGGGGATACGATTTGTTACAATTGGGGATATAATTTGTTTCCATTTCAAAAATAAATAAATAAGTTGCCTAGAAAAGATTTTCTCACCAAACCCATGGAAAAAGCTTTTCCTTAAAAATCAAGAAAATGTGGAAAACAAATTACATGAAAAATTTAGTCAATCAAACATGCAAAAAGATGAAAATGAATTTTAATTTCCATCTTTCATGGAAAATTTCCCCCAATCAAACAGGGCCGAAGTGTTAAAGATAAAGAATTTACTGAAATAATTAAAAAAAAAATTTACTTTTTAAATTGTAAAATATGCTCTTTGAAAATAGAAAATTGGTTGAAAATATCCTTGTATCATTGCCTTGACAATCAAGAGCTGATGTAGCCACAAATGACAGAGACCCCGACACGAAAACAATCATCCACAAATCTCAACAAAAAACACATTCTTCAGCACGTTGTAAATCTTGCCTTTTCACATTCCTTTACTTTTTGTTTGTTTAGAGAGTTGTGCTCTTTAAGATCCGACTTATTTTATGTTGTCTGGCCATTGAACTTCTAGGTGTCCATGTCTAAGATGTCATTCCGGCAGCCATTGTAGGGGTGTTGTTTATTTGATTAGTGTAAAGATATTGAATGTTATTCTGTTTCTCGAGTCCTTCGTTTGTGTTGTCATCTTGCAATGCCCATTAGTGTCAGAGCCCTAAATGTTAATGTCGATATGGCCTGGAGGGAACGGAACAATGCTTGTCATGATATGCTATTGGATAAAGCAATACGATACGATGAGAACACAACTTCGAGCCATCACGTTGAGGCCTTGACCGTTCAATTTGCAGGGTACAACCACGCCAAAGGAATATTTACTCGAAATTCGTGCATGAATCAAAGAGTATTGACTATCGATTCTCGATATTCACGTAAAGCAATGAATTTGGATCTTGTTCTTATTTTTTTATGCTTTCTCGTACATCAAGAACATCCTCCAACAATTTCAATGCTTATTAATAAAACAACTCATTTCACACTATAGACACTAGCATTCTTGCTATTATCTAATCTATCGGTTTGCCTACTTAGCAGACTATTGTTAGAATATTTGATTGATCGCATTATCGTGTATTTAGGTGAAATTCTATGCCAACGTCTAGTTAATTTTTACACAAATCACATTACATGTTTACACGTAGAGGTAACACAATTTGGTTCGGACAAATTTTGAATTATTTTCAAATCGAACCATTTTAAACGATTTGGTAAAATTCTAAACCAAACCAAACAATTTTTGTACAATTTAATTTGGTTTCAAAATAAATATATTGCTCGAAATCTCACCATAACATTTAAATTGAAACATTCTAAATATAAACCGGACTTTCTTTCAATACAAGCTTAAATTAATAAATTAACACAAGGTTCTACTACAAAATTTGAACTTTAAACAAGAAAAATATTATCATAAATAAATTAATATTCCTAAATAGCCAATTAGCAAGTAAATGTGTTGAAGCACAATGATACGGAAATAATATATCTTGGATAAAGTAAGTAATTGGGCAAACTAGTTCGATTTGATTTCTAGTGGTTTTTAACTATCAAAACTTAAATCAAATCATTTCTAAACTTTTTATTCGGTTTTGAAACAGTTGAAACTTAATTCAAGGGGACTCGAACTAACGATTTCAAAAATTTTGATTAATCGAGTCGACAATTTTTTGGTTCACTCTATGTACGGGGTGAACTTTGATCTCTACCGTTAGTCTAGAAGAAAAAATTACAATTTGAAACAAAACCAATAAACATGAAAAACAATTTAGCCCTTGTTTGAACGTGCAACCACACATTCTAAAGAAAAACAAAAAAAAAAAAAACTTATTTTTCATTTTTTTTCATATTTTTTTTCTACTTTTAAACATTCATTGTTGCAAACAATCAATCATAAAAAAATCACTTTTATATTGTTGTAGTAGTAAAATTTAAAAATGCCCTAAGCCCGTCTAGCACAACACTATAGAGTGTGTTTGGTAGGGATTTTTGGGGGAAAAATTGATTTTTGAATAGTGATATAATGTGAAATGTGTGGTTGAAAAAGAAGAAAAAATTATTGATGTGATAGAAAATATATTAAAGAATGTGTGGTTGAAAATGAGAATTGATTTACTATAGAAAAATCTAAATCCTTCCCAAACAGGGCCTTAAAGATTAA